TGTTCTCTTATAGCGTGGTAGTTGCATTCCTGAAGAATACCGCGTTCTAGAAAAATCACGTTACAATAAATAATATACAATGTGGGGGGGGGGGGGGGGGGGGGGTCACAGCACATTCCGCCATAACGCGTGAGATTTGTCCGCAGGCCGAACAAAGACCGAGGCGCGTGGTTGTTAGCGTCTCGAAGCATCCAGCAGCATCCCATTTTGTTGCGATGATGCTACGCCGGGGCAGCCTTAAGACCGCTTGTTCCGACTCGCGCGACACAGTTCCGTTCATTAAAATCGCGTTATATCCAATTCGCGTCCGCTTTATAATGCATCCATGGCTCCCGAATGCATTCATCGCTGCTACATCCAATTCGCGTCATCAAAACAACACGTGACGTTACAGGAGAACAGACGGAATGAGTTGACTTTGTCTCTGTGTTGCATTGTGTTGCCTGCGCATGGTGACCACACAAATTCAAGCACCCCTGCTTTTGCTTCCGAGGCCAGAGACGATTTGGGAGCAATTTCCCGGGCGCTTTCCGTTGGTCGACGGATCACCAGCCAGCCACGGGGGCTGTACATACCCGTTGCAGCAATTGCTTATAGCAGCTATTCGTGCAGGCGCGGCCCTGCAATTGATTCCTCGCGTCACTCGCAAGCAGCGGCTTCTGGCTGCTCGCCATCGCACGAAAGCGGCCCGCCGCATCGCGCGCATTCAGATGCGCTTCGGCGGCCGTCTGGAACGCTCTTCCGCCCGCTGTTAGGAAGCCACTGGAAAGCTGTTGCGCCTTTAAATCGTCTCGATTTAGAACTCATTTCTTTTAGAAGTGCTTTTGTGTGTGTTTAGTTCGTCGTCCTTCCCCTGCACCTCCGATTAGCGCGGTTGGCTACGTGCGGTGCGAAAGAAGTCCAGCGTACGTACGTCACTGCTGGCGGAGGCACCACCACCAGACGGAGCACGAGAGAGACCATCTAGAAAGGGCCATGTTGCGGCCAACTTTTCCACGCTGACCAAACTACTACAGATAGTATCAATATCCTTCAATATCATTGCATAGAATTGTCTGTTTTTAATAATTGAGTATTGCACGCGAGAGCACTTTCAGTGGCAGATTTGTGCCAGAACAGCAAAACATTACATTTTTGACTCGACTCGACATGCTGTAATAGGTGGGAGTTACCCACACTTCACCCCAACCCCACCGCACACGGAACCCGCTGATGGACTGCGCTGTGTACCCAAGTACACTGCTGGGTGGACAGAGCTGGTGGGGGAGGGGAGGTAAGGGAGCAATATCAGAAACTTGTTCCATTGTTCCAAATGCCGCGCGCAGGGAGATCGTCCAGGACCTGACCCCAACCCCTCCATGACCTCTCAGAATCGGAATGTGTATTCATTTATACCGGGGGAAATCCGATGAGCTGTAAAGCTCTTCTTTCACAGGTGTTCTCCTTAACTGTCAACATTAGCTACACCACCACCACTTTTAACAACGACAACAACAACCGCACTAACCGTCCATTATCTCAGCCGCCACCGTCGTACGTGCGATGTTATAAATTGTTGTGCATCGCCTTGGAATAAGGGCGTTGTACAAAGCCGCACATTTTTGAAAGAGCATACGAGAGACGAGAAGATAAGATTTGAACCGGTACGAGGCGTGATTGCTGCCGGATGCTTCTGGACGCTTATGCTCGGGCCTCAGCCTTTGTTCAACGCATGACACGGCGTTACAGCGGGAACGTTCTTTACACCCCCCCCCCAAAAAAACAAAACATTACAGATTATTTATCACAACGCGATTTGCCCCATAACTCGGTGTTCTGCAGGAACGCAACTGCTACGACCACCACGTGACAGGAGAACGTCACGGACCGTACTCAGCACGTGTGGCCTTTTGTTGTCCAGGCAACACAAATTGTCACGTCTGGATTGCAAGCCCAGCGTGCCGCTTGAAACCATGACCTCCGTCGTGACCGGGCAAGGGCCGGCGTCGTGCCGAGGGTTTTAATTCCCACGATAACACCCAAGGGGAACCCCGTGCGTGCCATTCCTCCAGCCACGTTGATGAACCCCTTTTCGCAGACCCCTCCCTTGTGCGGCGGCCGTGGAGTCGGGGAAAATCGACTGCGACCTCTCGGACGCCGAAAGGACGCGACGAAGCAGTGGATATGCGCTTTCGCGCGCGTCCCCCGCAAATGTGGAACGGAACAAAACGTGGAACGGAACAAGATGTGGAACGACGCAAAATTGTGGAACGGAACAAAACGTGGAACGGAACAAGATGTGGAACGACGCAAAATTGCGGAACGACGCAAAATTGTGGAACGGAACAAAACGTGTAATGACACGGAATGTTGAACGACGCAAAATGTGGAACCAAACTTTTTTTTTTATTTCTTTCTCTCGGATTCCACAAACGCCTGCCGCTGTCCCCGCCGTCGTGGTCATCGTCTATCCACTGCTGGATGGAGAACTCCGCGAGCGCTGCGTCTCGCTCCTGCGCCGCGACCTCGATCGCGTCGCCGCATCTCGCGTGGTCCGTTGTCCCTTGCCCCCCCCCCCCCCACAACTCCCGCGCACTTCCGATTAGCACGGTGGGCTACGACGTATGGTGCCATAGAAGTTCAACGTTATGGGTAAAATCACGGATAATGGGAGGAGGGGAGGGGGGGGAATAGGACCGCGGATAATAGGAGTTTTCGCGGATCCTTACAGCTGCCCGCGGATGACAGGAGTCGCCGGTGACGGGATCGTCCCCCCTTTAACCTGCGCCTGCTCCGGATCGACGGAGGTTCTGCGAGCGAGAACGAATCGGCGTGCGGCGGGAATCACGGGGGCGCCTCTCGTGCCAAGGGGAGGAGGAGTTTTTTTTGTCCCGGGGCGTCGCGAACTCCACCCAAGTTACTGACCCTGCCTCCAAGTTCACCCTGGCCAGGTTTTACCAATCAGTGGACTCGGGGGGGGGGGGGGGGGGGGTTGGTGGTGAAGTGCGTCTCGCTGCACGTGGCAAGAACGCGCGTTCGTTGTTGGCCCAGCAGAGCCTCGATTGTCTGTTTTTTTTTACGGGGGGTGCTGTCAACGTCGGGAAATCCCAGAGAGAGAGGAACCCAGCGACTTTTTACGGAGTGAGAGAGAGAGGGACCCAGCAACTTTCCACGGAGTGAGAGAGACAGAGAGGAACCCATCAACTTTCCACGGAGTGAGAGAGACAGAGAGGGAACCATCGACTTTCCACGGAGTGAGAGAGAGAGGGACCCAGCAACTTTCCACGGAGTGAGAGAGACAGAGAGGAACCCATCAACTTTCCACGGAGTGAGAGAGACAGAGAGGGAACCATCGACTTTCCACGGAGTGAGAGAGAGAGGGACCCAGCAACTTTCCACGGAGTGAGAGAGACAGAGAGGGACCCATCGACTTTCCACGGAGTGAGAGAGACAGAGAGGGACCCATCAACTTTCCACGGAGTGAGAGAGACAGAGAGGGACCCATCGACTTTCCACGGAGTGAGAGAGACAGAGAGGGACCCATCAACTTTCCACGGAGTGAGAGAGACAGAGAGGGACCCATCGACTTTCCACGGAGTGAGAGAGACAGAGAGGGACCCATCAACTTTCCACGGAGTGAGAGAGAGAGAGAGGGACCCATCGACTTTCCACGGAGTGAGAGAGACAGAGAGTGACCCAGCAACTTTCCACGGAGTGAGAGACACAGAGAGGGACCCATCAACTTTCCACGGAGTGAGAGACACAGAGAGAAACCCATCGACTTCCCATGGAGTGAGAGAGACAGAGAGGGACCCATCAACTTTCCACGGAGTGAGAGACACAGAGAGAAACCCATCGACTTCCCACGGAGTGAGAGAGACAGAGAGGGACCCATCAACTTTCCACCGAGTGAGCTAGACAGAGAGGGACCTATCAACTTTCCACGGAGTGAGAGAGACAGAGAGGGACCCATCGACTTTCCACGGAGTGAGAGAGACAGAGAGGGACCCATCAACTTTCCACGGAGTGAGAGAGACAGAGAGGGACCCAGCAACTTTCCACGGAGTGAGAGAGACAGAGAGGGACCCATCAACTTTCCACGGAGTGAGAGAGACAGAGAGGGACCCATCAACTTTCCACGGAGTGAGAGAGACAGAGAGGAACCCAGCGACTTTCCACGGAGTGAGAGAGAGAGGGGATCCCGGTGATTTTCCACGGAGTGAGAGACTTTTGACTTTTAAACAACTTTTATTGTTGACAGCAGCAACATCACCGGAGCCGATTTCGATACGAAACACAAAGTCGCCGGCGACAAATGAATCATTTTGCGGGACCCCGGGGTCCCGCAAAAATCAGGTCAAAAATTATTATTTGTATTGTTCAGTCCGCCCCACTACGTGATCCCGACAGCAACGCGCCGCCCGCCCAGACTCGCGCCAACAACAAGCGCCAGCAGCAGCAGCAGCAGGCGGCGATCACCACGATGGGCGCCACCCCCACCGGCCAAACGCGAGCCCCGGGGGGCGTCCGCCGCAGTCGCGCGCGGCGACGACGCCCTCCGGTCAGCCGTCGATCCTCAGCTTCTTTGCGAAGGCGAGCCCAGCCGCCCCCCCTAGGCAATGAATTTAACGTGTTTATGTAATTTTCAACTTTTTACGAAACTTAGTGTCCCCGAGTAGCTCTCGACGAGGCCAATCGATTGACCACTAGTTGTGTTGTCGGTAAGGCGACAAGACTCGTGTCGCTACGCGGTTTCTCCCACCCCGGGGCAGTGATGGGACCCCGGGGTCCCGCCAATTGCTTCACATCACGTGGCGCTCCACGCTCCACGCTCCAAGCTCCACGTTCCACGCACCACGCTCCACGCTCCACGCACCACGCTCCACGCACCACGCTCCACGCACCACGCACCACGCTCCACGCTCCACGCTCCATGCACCACGCACCACGCTCCACGCACCACGCGCCACGCGCCACGCCCCACGCACCACGCTCCACGCACCACGCACCACGCTCCACGCACCACGCACCACGCTCCACGCACCACGCACCACGCTCCACGCTCCACGCACCACGCACCACGCTCCACGGCAAAACGTCACGTGGCGGTGGCGACTTTCCACGCGGGTCGGGTCCTCAACGAGGTCTCTTGGGTTTTTTTGTCTTTGCCCCGTCCCTAGGAGCCACCCTTCAGGCCGTCGAAGTACCGTGGCTTGCGTCTTCATCTTCAGCTGCCAGAGCGGTAGAGGCGCGTATGTCCAGAAAGGCTTCCTGGATGTAAACCTAGGACGTGTGTGGGGGGCAGCGGGGGGTGGGGGGGGGGGGGTTTAAACATGAATTGATGTTAAATTAACGTATTAATTTAAACTTGCAACGCGCCGTTTGTGCAGCGTGGTCCAGACGTCTTATTTAAAACAGACAGTCACGTGCAAAAGGGCATATGAATTTTATTTGCGAGACACGAGACACCTGGGACACCACCCTGTGCAACAACGTTCGCTCATTTATCCCGAACCCAAACCGCGCAGGCTTCTTTGTGCACTTCTCTCGAACCGTTTCCCGCACCTCGTTTGTCTTTTTCGTCGGGGTCGCCTCGTTTCATCTCTCGCCGTCGTGTTTTGATTTCCCCTCGTCTCGTCCCGATTGCGCAGAACGGCGCTGAAGAACGACCCGCGGAAGTGCACATCACAGAGCTACCCGTGAGATACTCCTTCGCGTGACCTATTGAAGGGGTCACCAACCCCCGGGCGACGGAGCGGTACCGGTCCGTGGCCTGTTAGGAACCGGGCCGCACAGCAGGAGGAGGTGAGAGCGGTGAGTCCGATCACGTGGCCCGCCTCCATTATTTTATTATTTACCACTTCCATCCGTGCCTCTTTCCAGCACTGCGCAACTTGTCTCAGTCACGTGGTGTTGGTATAAAGCCCACAAGCTAACAACCCGAGTAGCCACAATGAGTCACAAACAAACGTCGCTGGAGAGGTTCTTTGGAAAGGGAGAATGACCCAATGATTAACCCCCCCCTCCCAGCCCGGATCCGTGAAAACATTTTTTTTGTCTTCCACGAAACCGGTCCCTGGTGCCAAAAAGTTTGTGGACCGCTGACTTATTGGGTTGGAGCAGTAGGAGGTGGGAACACATTCCCACCCCGCTCTGCGACACGCGAATATCAAGCGGATTCTAGATTTGAAACTTTCGTGACTGCAAGGATTCATACTCTTTGGTTTCTTCGGTAAAGTCACGTAAGTAAAAGTAAAAAAAATGAAAACTAAATTAAATCATGATTTAATAAAATTAATGAAAACTAAATTAAATCATGATTGAATTTCGTTTTCATTTATTTCTTTATTTATAACTACGTGACTTTACCGAAAAAAACAAAGAGTATCAAGGTGGCGTCTATATAGTTCTCAGAACTGTCATTTAGCCGGATTACATTGCAGAATCGGAATTAAATGCATTGGGTTTTGGGATTTGTTGCAGTCATTTGTAACCGGGTAAAGACCATCAAATCTTGACTTAAAGCTTTCGTGACTGCAGGAATTAATGTTCTTGAGGGTCTTTCGGTAAAGTCACGTAAATAGGTTCAAAGAAAATAACAAAAAAATTACAAAAAACTACGACGTTTCGATCGCAACACAAGCGTTCGTTCTTCCAAGAATATACCATCAACTCTCTTGCACTTAACAACCCGCTTCAATCACAACTCAATGTGTGTGAGCTTGTGTGTGTCTATGTAAGTCTGTGGGTATCTGTGTAACTCTGTGGGTTTCTGTGTAAGTCTGTGGGTTTTGGTGGAATTCTATGGGTCTCTGTGTAACTCTGTGGGTCTCTGTGTAAGTCTGTGGGTCTCTGCGTAAGTCTGTGGATCTCTGTGTAAGTCTGTGGGTCTTTATGTAAGTCTGTGGGTCTCTGTGTAAGTCTGTGGGTCTTTATGTAAGTCTGTGGGTCTCTGTGTAACTCTATGGGTCTCTGCGTAAGTCTGTGGATCTCTGTGTAAGTCTGTGGGTCTTTATGTAAGTCTGTGGGTCTCTGTGTAAGTCTGCGGGTCTCTGTGTAAGTCTGTGGGTCTTTATGTAAGTCTGTGGGTCTTTATGTAAGTCTGTGGGTCTTTATGTAAGTCTGTGGGTCTCTGTGTAAGTCTGTAGATCTCTTTGTAAATCTGTGGGTCTTTGTATAAGTCTGTGAGTCTCTGTATACGTCTTTGGGTCTCTGTAAACGTCTATGGGTCTCTGTGCAAGTCTATGGTTATCGATGTAAGTGTATGGGTCTCTATGTAAGTACGCGAGTCTGCGTGCAAGTCTATTGTTTTTTTTTGTAAGTATGTGGGTCTCTGTGCCAGTCTATGGGTCTATGTGTAAGTCTATGGATCCCTGTGTAAGTCTATGGGTTTCTGTGTAAGTCTATGGGTCTCTGTGTAAGTCTGTGGGTCTCTCTGTAAATCTGTGGATCTCTGTGTAAGTCTATGGGTCTCTGTGTAAGTATATGGGTCTCTGTGTAAGTCTACGGATCTCTGTGTAAGTCTATGCGTCTCTGTGTAAGTCTGTGGGTCTCTGTGTAAGTCAATCATGACCGAGCTTAGACCATCGACTCACTGCAATTGAGAGCGCGGCTTAATCACCGCGAGGTAGTTGAAACCCGGACTCGAACCCATGTGCCTCAGCTCTGCTCGCTGTCTCTGATCTCCGAGCAGCCGAGGGGGGGAGGGTGGGAGGAGGAGGCACCTTTTGTGCCAGAATGTCGCCAGCAAATGTAAAGGTGGTTAATACTTTATTTACGATACCTGGGACAATCTTTTTTCTCCCTTTGTTTTGCCGGAGATTTGAATGTAAATGGGACGCCACTGCTTGTCAGCCCAGGCGTGGTGTTTGCCACCAATTAGCCTCTCCCCCCACCCCCGCCCCTCCAATTCATCCCAGCAGTGGGTTGACGACGTTCTGTCTGACTACCCCGACGACCGCCAGTCCAGACCTGCCCGGGCCAGCCTGGCACAGACTGGCACAGACTTGCCCCCTCCAAAGACAAAAGATCCCCTCCACCCGTGTAGCCTGTGACAGGCTGTCGGGGCAAGTGCTGCTAGCGAGCGCCTATCGAAGGCCGGCACGGCACACCAGGAGAGGGAGGGTGGGTGGTCAGCACCACACCCGGCCGCCTTTGTCTCCCTAGTGGTGATGTTTACACACTGCAGCAGGTACTCATTTGAGGCTAAGTCGACCTAGGGGAGGAGAAGGCCCAGGACCGGTTCAGATATAATCGTCACCGATGTTGGCCGTGAGCGGGAATCGAACTTGGGTCGCCGGGTTCGTAGCGCAGCGTAGCGCTAACCGCTGCACCACCGCACCCCACACAGATACACACACAGACAGATACACACACACCCACACAGATACACACACACCCACACAGACACACACACAAACAGATACACACACACAGACAGATACACACACAGATACACACACAGACAGACACACACACAGACAGACACACACACAGACAGACACACACACAGACAGATGCGCACACACCCACAAAGATACACACACAGACAGATACACACAGATACACACACACAGACAGATACGCACACACACAGACAGATACACACACAGACAGATACACACACCCACACAGATACACACACAGATACACACACACAGACAGATAAACACACACCCACACAGATACACACACAGATACACACACACAGACAGATACACACACCCACACAGATACACACACAGATACACACACAGACAGATACACACACCCACACAGATACACACACAGATACACACACACAGACAGATACACGCACACACCCACGCACCCCTAGCCCATCGGACACTCCCAGCTGGGAGGTAAGAGGGAAGGAGGCACACAACACTGCAATGTTTGCTCAAGAAAGTGGATATCAGCTGCTCATCCCTGTGGCTCACTCGTGTGTCTCACAGCCAGGGGTAAATGCCTGCTGAGCGCGAGTGTGTGTGGGTTCGAATCTGTGTGTGTGTGAGTCTGTGCGTGTGTGTGAGTCTGTGTGTGTGTGTGAGTCTGTGTGTGTGTGAGTCTGTGTGTGAGTCTGTGTGTGTGTGTGAGTCTGTGTGTGTGTGTGTGAGTCTGTGTGTGTGTTCGAGTCTGTGTGTGTGTGTGTTCGAGTCTGTGTGTGTGTGTCTGTGTGTGTGTTCGAGTATGTGTGTGTGTGAGTCTGTGTGTGTGAGTCTGTGTGTGTGTGTGTGTTCGAGTCTGTGTGTGTGTGTGTTCGAGTCTGTGTGTGTGTGAGTCTGTGTGTGTGTTCGAGTCTGTGTGTGTGTGAGTCTCTGTGTGTGTGTTAGAGTCTGTGTGTGAGTCTGTGTGTGTGTGTTCGAGTCTGTGTGTGTGTCGAGTCTGTGTGTGTTCGAGTCTGTGTGTGTGTGTGTTCGAGTCTGTGTGTGTGTGTTCGAGTCTGTGTGTGTTCGAGTCTGTGTGTGTGTGTTCGAGTCTGTGTGTGTGTGTTCGTGTATGTGTGTGAGTCTGTGTGTGTGTGTTCGAGTTGTGTGTGTGTGTGTTCGAGTCTGTGTGTGTGTGTGTTCGAGTCTGTGTGTGTGAGTCTGTATGTGTGTGTTCGAGTCTGTGTGTGTGTGAGTCTGTGTGTTTGTGTTCGAGTCTGTGTGTGTGTTTGTTCGAGTCTGTGTGTGTGTTCGAGTCTGTGTGTGTGTTCGAGTCTGTGTGTGTGTTTGAGTCTGTGTGTGTGTGAGTCTGTGTGTGTGTTCGAGTATGTGTGTGTGTGTGAGTCTGTGTGTGTATGAATCTGTGTGTGTGTGTTCGAGTCTGTGTGTGTTCGAGTATGTGTGTGTGTTCGAGTGTGTGTGTTCGAGTCTGTGTGTGCGCGCGTGTGTATAGGGGAGCGGTAATGTAGCGGTTAGCGGCGCGCTGCGCGACAAACCCGGCCACCCGGGATCGATTCCCGATACCCGCTCACGGCCAACACCGCCGACGAGTATCCGAATCGGTCCTGTGCCTCCCCTAGATCGACTCAGCCTTAAATAAGTACAGTACCTGGTACCGTGTGTAGTAAACATCACCACTGGGCGTGGTGCTGGCCACCCACCCCCTCGTGTGCCGTGCCGGCCTTCATAGGTGCTCGCTAGCAGCACTTGCCCCCAACAGTCTGTTAAGGCTATACGGGGGCTCTTTGTCCTCGTATGTGCATGTCACTATGTATGATGTCTGTGTATATCTGTCCATGTTTATGTGCATGTCAACGTGTAATCTATCTAATAGTATATGCCATGTGCGTGTCACGACCACCACTTGTCCCAACAGTCTATAAGCTCCAGCGGTGTGTGATGGCAGGTAGTTTTTTTTTTAAATTTACGTACGTAAGGGGCCGTCCATAAATGACGTCACGCGATTTTGGACAATTTTTAACCCCCCCCCCCCCCTCGTCACACGGCGTCACAAAAAGTCAGACCCCCCCCCTCAAGTATGACGTCACAAAGCTCTGCCCGCCCCCCCAAAACCATATTTCCATTTTGAAAATAGAACAAATCGCTTTAAACTATTGTCATTGTAGTGTGCATTTAATGTGGTGCTGCACTCTGATGTTGTAGGAGTGTTGTTATAACAATTCTATATTTATTTAAAGTTGCGCATTTTGATGTGACGTCACATTTCTCAAACCCCCCCTCCCCTCGTCGCACATCGTCACAAATGTCTGACCCCCCCCCACCCCCCTAGGTGCGTGACGTCATTTATGGACGGCCCCCTAACGTGTACACTACAAAATACAAACCTTGCACCGTTTTGATTTAAAGCTTTCGTGACCTGCAGGGATTCATATTCTTGGTTCTTTCACTTTTTTCAAATTGTCTTGTTGTGGTTTTTCACACCTGATGATGATTGCTTGTGCTGCAGTCGAAACGTCGTGAAAATTTTATTGTTTTATATTTTTTATTATTTTATCAGTTTCCCTTCTACGTGGCGGTGACTTTACCGAAAGAACCAAGAATATATTTGCACCGTTTGTTTAACCGGAGGTTTGAATGGTGCACTAAACCATTGCGGCTGGATTGAGGTCCCATTGCGCCGAGCATTGGGCCGTGGGGGGCAGTGGCAAGGGCATCGCAGTTACACCGAGGGACACGGAGAGCGAACTCTTTGGTTCTCTTCGGTAAAGTCACATAGGTAAAAACAACAAAAATCACGACGTTTCGGCCACAACACAAGCGGCCTTCATCAGGTGAAGGGACCAGCCTGTCTCGAAGACTGCGCTGGAGTGAACACAGAGCCAAGCTCAGACCGCGACCTTTAAGCTGTGTGAGAGGGATTAAGGTGCCTTGACAAGGTCGCAGTCTGAGCTTGGCTCTGTTTCACTCCAGCACAGTCTTCGAGACAGGCTGGTCCCTTCACCTGATGAAGGCCGCTTGTGTTGTGGCCGAAACGTCGTGATTTTTGTTGTTTTATTTTTACCTACGTGACTTTACCGAATAGAACCAAAGAGTATGGATCGTTGCAGTCACGAAAGCTTCAAATCTAGAATACACGGAGAGCGTGTTGCGTTGGGTGAAAGTTATAGGGTTGCAGCCCTGCGGCGCTTTGCTCAATCCACTGCTGGAAGGAAAGGGGCTCGACTAGAGGGCATCTCTCTCACTCGAGAATGCTCCCTCGTTCATTCGAGAGAGAGAGAGAAAGGAAATTTCGGCCTACTCTTCCACGCTTGCCAGACGTCTCGGAATGAACGTGGGAGCACGCCACACTTTATTAAACTCCCGAACTATTTTGTTTTATTTTACCAGGCAAGGCCACACTGAGCTGCATCGCTTTTTTTTCAGAAGCGATCTAACCACAAATGGCGGCTCAACGAAGTGGCTCATAATCATCATCATCATCACGTGGAAATGTACAGCAGCCAAATACTCTAAACGCGTAGCGATGTTGATTCTAAATGTGGAGAATAAAACCGGGGGAGCCGGAGAAAAATCCACGCGACCACGGACAGAGAGCGACACGCAAACTCCAAATATATAGCAGCAGGCGTCAGGGTCGGGATGGATCCCACGACCTCCTGTACGCCAGGCGAGGTAGTTAACATCTCCTAGCCATCGTGATGAGAGAGAGAGTGACACGCAAACTCTAAATATACAGCAGCAGGCGTCAGCGTCGGGATAGAGTTACATACAGACCCATAGAGTTACATAGAGACCCATAGAGTTACATAGAGACTCATAGAGTTACATAGAGACCCATAGAGTTGCATAGAGACCCATAGAGTTCCACAAAGACCCATAGAGTCACACAGAGACCCATAGAGTTACATAGAGACCCATAGAGTTACATAGAGATGCATAGAGTTACATAAAAATTCATAGAGTTGCATAGAGACCCATAGAGTTACATAGAGACCCATAGAGTTACATAGAGACCCATAGAGTTACATAGAGACCCATAGAGTTACATAGAGACCCATAGAGTTACATAGAGACTCATAGAGTTACATAGAGATGCATAGACCACAGCCGAGGACCACCGGTCTTGTTGGAGAACTTCCCACTTGTGATTAGGCGAGAAACTCTTTTGTAAGGAAATCGGTCCTGGTTCGACGCAACACCACACTACAGCATACAGTATCCTTGTGATGCAGTTTAACACGCAGACTTTCGCGACCAATATTCA